AATTCTTGACTGACTTTTTTCTTTCAGCATTTTGAATATGTCATCCCATGGCCTTCATTGTTTCTGATGAAAAGTCAGACATTAATCTTACTTGAATTCTCCTGTGTATGACAATATATTTTTTTTCTTGCCGCTTTCAGGATTTTCTCTCTCTTTCCAAGTTTTGATTGTGACATGTTTGGGTGTGGACCCCTTTGCCTTTATTTCACTTGAAGTACATTTAGCTTCTTGGATATATAGATTTTATTTTTTTAAAAAATCACATTTGGCAAGTTTTCAGCAATTATTTCTTTGGGTATTTTTCTGCTCCTTTCTCTCCTCTTCTGCAAATCCTATTAGGTGTCACGTATGTTGGTGCACTTAATGCGTCCTGTGTTCCTTTAAGACTGTTCATTTTTTCTTTTTCTTTGTGTTCTCCAGATTGTGCATATCTCTACTGATCTATCTTCACGTTTGCTGATTATTTCTTCTGCCACTCAAATTGCCTGTTGAGTCCCTTGAGTGAATTTTTCATTTTGGCTGTTGTACTTTTAAACTCCAGAATTCTTCCCCTACTACCTTTTTTTTGGGGGGGTAGGGGGTAATTGTTCTTTATATTCTGTATTTGAGATATTGTTATAATACCTTTCCTTAATTCTTTAAGTATGGTTTCCCTTAGTTCTTTGAACATATTTGTAATACCTGCTTTCAAGTCATTGTCTGCTACATTTAATATCTGGGTCCTTTCAAAGACAGTTACCATTGCCTGCTGTTTTTCCATATGTGGATCACACTGTCCTCTATGCATGTTTTGTATTTTCTTGTTGAAAACTGAACATTTTAGATAATATGTTGTAGAAACTCCAGATAGTGATCTTTCTCCCTTCTGCCTCGGGGGCATGTTGTTTTTGTTGTTTGCTTATTTGTTTGATGACTTGACTTGTTCAGTGAAGTCTATTTTTCTGCAGTGTGCAGCCTCTGATGTCACTCCTTAAATGGCACACTCTTGGGCATGTGCACAGTTACTCTGACTCTTGTATCCACATCTAGGAATGACAATAGTTGCAGCTAGGCTCTCTTTGACTCACTGTTTCCCTGGTCTCACTGTTAAGTTTCTGACTAATCTTCTGTATTGGTCGTATACCAGTTGTTAATCTCCCTCCTTAGCTGGTTACTCTATTGTTTTTGACAATACCCTGAGGCGTAATTGTTCTACAATTTGATTCAATTAAAGATTTGTAGGAATACTCCTCAAATCTAATCCCTGAGGCTTGCTCTGACCTTGGGAAGGTTACTTTTAGCTGTCTCTTTGGTGGTTCTCTCTGTTAAACTTCCACCTGATCTATCCTTTACTTATTCCTATCCTAGAGCTACCAACCTTCTCTTAATTGCCATCCACCCAAATCTCCATGATGTTTTGTACAACACTCATAAGTGTGACCCTCCCCATGCCATGTTCTGCATAAACTCACTCCCCTTGTGAAAAGCTGCAGTTCTTACAACCTGCCTTTCCCCTGGGCAGAGCTCTGCACTACAGCTGTGGAGATGACAGTGGAGACAGCAGCCTTCTTCTCTAGGGGTGACACCCTGCTCTGTGAGTGGGGTGCTGGGTAGGGGTGACAGCCTCTGGTCTTCTCAGCTTGCCTCTCTTGGCATGCAACCTTCATTCTATGAGGGATCTGGGACAGGGTCTTGGCCTGTTTTGTTTTGTTTTGAGATAAGAGTCTTGCTCTGTTGCCCAGGCTGGAGTGCAGGGTCATGATCTTGGCTCACTGCAACCTCTGCCTCCCAGGTTCAAGCGATTGTCTTGCCTCAGCTTCCCAAGTAGCTGGGATTATAAGCACCCACCACCATACCCAGCTAATTTTTGTATTTTTAGTAGAGACAGGGTTATACCATGTTGACCAGGCTGGTCTTGAACCCCTGACCTCGTGATCCAGGGTCTTGAACTCCGCCCCTCGTGTGGGGGCGGGGGAGCAGGTATGCCTCAGCCTCCCAAAGTGCTGAGATTACAGGTGTGAGCCACTGCACCTGGTGTCTTGGCCTGTTTTGCCTAGGGTAGAGCTTCTGCCCTGTAGGTGTAGACTGGGTAGAGCATGGAAGCCCTGGTCATCTTGACCACACTTGCCTGGAATAGAGCTTCTACAATACCAAGCTGTGGGGGATAAGAATGCTGGTGGCCTGGTCTTCCCAGTGAGAAACAGTGACTCTGGACAGGGTGCAAGAGGGAGCCCTGTTTTGTTTTGGCCACACCTACTTAGAGTAGAACTTCGGTCACTCTGGGCTGGGTGTGGGGGCAGGGGAGCAGGTTATGACCCAAAAGCTGCAGAATCTCACTGTTACTACCAAGATTTAGATATTCTCAAATAAAATGTTTTTCCATTTGCTGCATGCTCTTAGCACAACTTACAGAGACTTAAAATCAGGGGAGTTCAATCTTTTGGTTTCGCTGGGCCACATTGGAGGAAGAAGAATTGTTTGGGCCACATGTAAAATACACTAATAATAGCTGATGAGCTATTAAAAATATCTGCATAAATCTCATAATGTTTTAAGAAAGTTTACAAATTTGTGTTGGACCACAATCAGAGCCATCCTGGGCCATATGTGGCTGGTGGGCCATGGTTGGAAAAGCTTGCTTTAAATGGTTTTTAAAAAGATTTTTCACCAGTTATGGTTGTCTCTCTGGGGATAGGATCTGGGAAACTCCTTACACCTCCAGTCCAGCTTTAACTTTTTGAAAATAACAAACTACGTTTCTTCAAAGATATTTTCCCTTCTAGACCTTACTGATCCACATAGCCCTTTTCTCCCTCTGTCTGAACTAGGAAGGCTTTGACCATAAACTCAACCAATTTTTCCATTTTCATACTGCTATAAAGAACTGCCGAAGACTGGGTAATTTGTAAAAGAAACAGGTTTAATTGACTCACGGTTCAGCATGGCTGGGGAGGCCTCGGGAAATTTACAATCATGGCAGAAGGGGAAGCGGGAGCAAGACACCTTCTTCACAAGGCGGCAGGAAGGAGAAGTGCTGAGCTAAGGGGGAAGAGCCCCTTCTAAAACCCTCACTCACTACCAGGAGAATAGCATAGGGGAAATTGCCCCCGATGATCCAATTGCCTCTACCTGGTCTCTCCCTTGATACATGGGGATTACGGAAATTATAATTCAAGATGAGATTTGGGTGGGGACACAAAGCCTAACTTTATCACGGTGGAAGAAAGAAAGTTTAACATTTGAATATATAAATGGCATTTAATTTAGTCTAGGAACATGGCTTCCTTGGCATGGATGAGGGAGAAATTTCTAACTTATCAAAACCTTAATGTTGGATGTTCTCTTTAAGAACTTGAAAGTATTACAAGACCGGGTGCAGGGGCTCACACCTATAATCCTAAGACTCTGGGCGGCTGAGGCAGGAGGATCGCTTGAGCCCAGGAGTTTGAGGCTGCAGTGAGCTGTGATCGCACCACTGTACTCCAGCCTGGGTGACAGAGCAAGACTTTGTCAAAAAAGAAAAAAAAAATGACCAAAGGTAGCAAAGGGACTTTGTCCCTGTCGGGTAGGCAATTCCTAATGGTTGTGAAGTAGATATGAGCCCGCTACCCCACTTATCACACACATACCCCTGAATTTTTACCCCTTCTGCTTAGAACACTGGTATTTGTGGGTTTGGTTTGGTTTTGTTTTGAGATAGAGTCTTGCTTTGTCACCCAGGCTGGAGTCCGGTAGCACAATCTTGGCTGACTGCAACGTCCGCCTTCTGGTTTCAAGTGATTCTCCTGTCTCAGCCTCCTGAGTAGCTGGGACTATAGGCATGTGCCACCATACCCGGCTATTTTTTTTTTTTGTATTTTTAGAAGAGATGGGGTTTTACCATGTTGGTCAGGCTGGTCTCCAACTCCTGACCTCAAATGATCCACCTGCTTCGGCCTTCCAAAGTGCTGGGATTACAGGCGTGAGCCACTACACCTGGCCAGTATTTGTGTTTTGATGGGCTTAGTGCCAATAGCTGGTACCCTCTCCAGCTGCTGTTTTGCAGCAGGGTGTAAGTATTCTCAGAAAACCCTATTTTCAGGGATAATAGAATATCAGAAGCTTTGTCTAAGAGAACATTGACTTGCCACCTGTTTTTGTATGGCCTGGGAGCTAAGAATGGTTTTTACATTTTTTAATGGTTGGAAAATATAAAAATAAGATGATGATTTCAGGACATGTAAAAATATGAAATTTAGGCTATGTATTAGGATTACAGGCTCAAGCCTGTAATCCTAGCACTTTGGGAGGCTAAGGTGGGCGGATTGTTTAAGCCCAGGAGTTTGAGACCAGCCTGGGCAACATGACAAAACCCCAGCCTCTGCAAAATAATAGAAATAGTAGCTGAGCATTGTGGCATGCACTTATGTCCCAGCTACCAGGGAGGCTGAGGTGGGAGGATTGCTTAAGCCTGGGAGGTTGAGGCTGCAGTGAGCCATGTTCGTGACATTGCACTCCAGTCTGGGTGAACAGAGCAAGACACTGTCTCAAAAAAACAAAAGATCTGAGACTTACTATTTAATATGTGCTTCCTAGAAATCAATTTTTATTCCACAAAGTTTATAATGTTTCACCTATAGTTAAATGATCAAATAATATGCCTTTTTCATCTATGCTGAAAGAAAAACAATATGCCATGCTGTAATCCTTGCTTATCAGGGTGTTCAAGTTCTCTCTGGTTTTGGGTACATATACAGTATGATTGCTGAGATGTAAAACCCTAAACTTTCTGCCAATGAAGTTCAGAGATACATACAAGTCTGTTCAGTATTGAAACCAAATTTTTGTCATATATCTACGTGGTAGAGCTTTTGCAATTGAGCAGTTTCCTGTTTTGTGCCTGATAGATCCATAGTTGTATTGCACAAATTGTTTCCATCCTCAGGCATTTTCTCCGTGCCTGCCCCACCAGGTCCCACCTGCCCAGACCCTACGCTTCCACGTCTGTTACTTTATGGAACATCTTTGTTTCTTTTTTCCAGGCATCCAGTGGAAATTATTATTTCATCCCATACATCATGACACCGTGCGCTGATTATTTTTGCTGCGAGAGCAACGCCCAGAGGCGAGCCTCCGAGTACATGCAGCCCAACTGGGACACCATCCTGGGCCCGCTGTGCATGCCTTTGGTGGACAGGTTCATTAGCCTCCTTAAGGACATCCACGTGACCTCATGGTAATTCCCGTCAGCTACCAATAACCCTTGGAGACTCACTAAGATATGCCCCTCAATTTCAGGGATGTGATACACCTCCAAATGACCAGTGTTGCTGGAGAACCTACTATTGTCCCTTACTGGCTCACTTAGCTGGGCCACTGAGATGAAGCCAAAACAGAATAGAACTGGAGTTAGGAAGTCAGGATTGAGCCTGTGGCCCGGACTCCCTGTTTGATCTTGACATGTAACTTTGCTTCTCTGACTGGTCTCCCTCTTGTAGATAAGACAACTTAAAGGGTGTTGTCAGTGATGTTTTTTGGAAGGATCTCTTTCAGCTCTGAGATTCTGTGTTTCAAGATTATTTCTGAGCGTGGCTTTACACTCTCGTGGCTGTTGAGGCTTTTTAAACATCTTGGCGAGGTCATTCTGACCTTACGCTCTTATGCTTTAAAAGTCTGCATGCGTTGAGTGGAGCTGCGGCCATCCTCAGGATGTACCGTGCTGTGTTCTCTTTAGGGTAAGGTTAGATGAGGCGAAGTATGCAGAGTTGAATAGGTTTTAGACTGGAATCTTGGCTTAGGTGATTCCTACCTGTGTAGCCCTGAAATAGTCAGCTCGCCTATTGGAGCCTCAGTGCCCAGGAAACCTTCAGATGTTCTTATTGTGAAAGTGAAAGACAGAAAAATTCTTCTTCTTAACCAAAGGATCCAGTTATGTTGCTTGCAGCCAATTTAAAGGATTTAGTCCCATAAGTTGTGTCACAAGGAGAAGGATTTGTCCTTCCAAAACAAACGAAAATCCCAAACACTGGCAGAGCTGACCTGAAACGAAATGTAGAGGACCTCCTGTCCCACTGTGGCTCAAATGGTGGCACCCTGAACCGTGGAGTGTTAGACTGTAGTGTTGGTATGAGGGACATACTTGTTAATGGTCTCCTTTCCCATCCCATCACCTCTTCTCTGGCTGCAGACCTTCTACAGACTTTAATGGAAAAGGAGATTGGGAACCTAAACATGTGTTACCACATGCCAACATAGAGAGCAAATGGGGGACATTTTGTGGCACATTTTCCTGGAAAACCTCATGCACTCATGCCTTGCTAACTATTGTCTGGTTGCAAAACAAACACTTGAGTGAAGTTTTATGGAAAGCTCTCCTAGTATCAAGTAGACTTGCTTGGATCTGCCAGATGATTGAGGTCTTTGCAAGCCATATTGGGTTCAAGTTTGTTTCTCATTCAGTGTGTGTATGTATCAGTAGGCAAACAACTCTTGTGATTTCGTTTAATTTCAGAGGGCTTGAAATACTTATTGGTGGATTCCACCCAATGAGCTGGCAGTGTCTGGCAGCAGTTAGTAAGAGGGGAAGTGGTGCTTATAGTTTAAAACATCTATAACACAGGTGGAAAGTAAGTTTTTAGCTCAAGTGCCAACTCTGATAGATTTATAAAGTCTATTTTGAGTCCTGTGCTGAAATTGCTTTGAAGCCATTTCCAAGTTCTTACTGATCAGGAACATCTACCCTGGTTACAGAGGCAGAAATGGCTGCATGCTTATTACATATCTGATGTCCCCAAGCCATACTCAAGTCAGTGCTTAATTTACCTAAAAGTTACTCTTCTTTTTATGTTTCTTAGTTTATTAAAATCATTTTTCAGAATTACCCTTGAAAAATAAGGCTGAAGTACAGCTTTTTACTTATCAGGCTAACCAAATAACACTTAATAGCTTTGATGCCTTTATAGTCCACCAAATGGGCAATGGCTGGCACCCAACTTAATGACTCATTCAATTAGTGACATAGTTTTAAACACTGGCAGAATCTGCTAATTTGTTCATCAATGGGATGACGGCAATCAACAAGGAAATAGAAAACTAAAGCAATGCATTGATGTTTTTCTATTGAAATCCTTTCCGTGGGCATCACTTCATTCTCTCAGTGGTAACAGAGGTCCTCTTGTGAGCATTGGACCAGGTCATGTAGTGTATGTATACTTGTTTGACATTGTTTTGTAATTATTGAAAGTAAGCACTATTTGTTCTTCTCTTATCTCATTGTTTTTCGCTCTCCGAAGACTATTATTAAATTTAGCTTACTCTCTTTTTAATGGACAGCCTAATTTTACACTCTGCAGTTAGACCATTTCAGCTTCTTTTTTTTTGTATTTTTAAAAATTTTGAGACTGAGTCTCACTCTGTCACCCAGGTTGGAGTGCAGGGACGCAGTCTTGGCTCACTACAACCTCTGCCTACTGGGTTCAAGCAATTGTCCTGCCTGGGCCTCCTGAGTAGCTGGGATTACAGGCGCCCGCCACCACACCCAACTAATTTTTGTTTTTTGAGTAGAGATGGGGTTTCACCATATTTGCCAGGCTAGTCGCAAACTCCTAAGCTCAGGTGATCTGTGTGCCTCGGTCTCCCAAAGTGCTGAGATTACAGATGTGAACCACCGCTCCTGGCCCCATTTCAGCTTCTTAATGGGGGCAACAGTATTACTGTCAGACAGTGTCCTGTCTCCACTTAAAAATTCCTTTGGAAAATAGACAAGCTACTTTTTTTTTTTTTTTAATTTTTTATTGGATTTTAGGTTTTGGGGTACATGAGCAGAGCATGTAAGACAGTTGCATAGGAACACACAAGCTACTTTAAATCAATCTACGGTTGTTATAACTCGACCTCTGTATACGAAAGTAGGTCATTTTTCAAGGTTTTAAACCAAGTACTAGATAATCGTATTAACTCTTCGAGAGCCTATGGTGATATTTCAGTGTGAATTTAAACTACTTTAAGTGTTTTTAAACTTCCTTGTGCTTATCTAGATGCCCACCTGAAGGAAGTTTTGTATTTTATATTAGAAAAATCATTCTTGGGGCCAGGTGTGGTGGCTCATTCCTGTAATCCCAGCACTTTGGGAGGCCGAGGCGGGTGGATCACTTGAGTCCAGGAGTTTGAGACCAGCCTGACCAACATGGTGAAACCCCATCTCTACTAAAAATACAAAAAATAGCCAGGCATGGTGACACATGCCTATAGTCCCAGCTACTTGGGAAGCTGAGGCAGGAGAATCACTTGAACCCAGGAGGTAAAGGTTGTGGTGAGCCAAGATCGCGCCATTGCACTCTTGCCTGGGCAACAGAGAGCAAGGCTGTCAATAAGTTTCCAGGCATGACCTCTGTGAGTCCCATCTTGCATTGCTCAGGGACACAACACCAGTTTCCAGCTCTCACCTCAGTTAGAGAAAGCTTAATGACTACTAACAAGAGACACCTGATAGAGAAATTCACTTGAAAGACATTCTCATGTATGTTTCATGGGTTTTGGAACTCTGTTTGGCTTTGTTACTAGTGGGGAAAATAAATATGCAAGAAAGTTACCTTCTTGCCCTCTATATGTTTGAAAATGCTAGAGAAAGTGGGTTTGGTTGGCAGCAAGTCCTGTGTGTTGTCCAAGTACAGATGGGAGTCACCTTTGAAAATATCTTCAAGGTTGAATGAATTGATTTTTGTTTGTCATTTATTGGTCAGTTTATACAAAATGTGAATAAGTAGAAAGCATCTCCTGTTTATTGGTGCAGGGAGGCTCAGGTCCGGGCTGAGGTCCCCATGTGTTAGCCTAAATCACATCAATGAGAACCATTTTGGGTGCAAGACAGTCCTGGCTGTGTGTAGACATGACTGGAGGTTTTTGTGTTTTTCTTTTTCTAGTGTTTATTACAAAGAAACCTTGTTAAATGACATCCGGAAAGCCAGAGAGAAATACCAAGGTGAGGAACTGGCAAAGGAGCTGGCTCGGATCAAGCTCCGCATGGATAATACTGAGGTTCTGACCTCAGACATCATCATTAACTTACTCCTGTCCTACCGTGATATCCAGGTAAGAGATCCACCTAGCTGAGGCTCATGTATGCTGCATTCTGTCTTGGCTTGAGGAACTTCTTGTGAAGTATTTGAATACTCAGTGTGTGGTGAGGTGGCTGTTTTTTCTTTTTTTTTTTTTTTTTTTGAGAAGGAGTTTCACTCTTGTTGCCCAGGCTGGAGTGCAATGGTGCTATCTTGGCTAACTGCAACCTCTGCCTCCTGGGTTCAGGCGATTCTCCTGCCTCAGCCTCCTGGGTAGCTGAGATTACAGGCATGCACCACCATGCCTGGATTATTTTGTATTTTTAGTAAAGATGGGGTTTCACCATGTTGGTCAGGCTAGTCTTGAACTCCTGACCTCAAGAGATCCACCTGCCTTGGCCTCCCAAAGTGTTGGGATTTACAGGTGTGAGCTACTGTGCCTGGCCAGAGGTGGTGGCTGTTTTATAGACAAATAGGTATGTGGCTAGGTCATAGGTCATCCAGCTTATCTGTTACTGTGGAAATTTTGGAGGAGGTTTGGTCACATGGAGGCTGGTGTGACCACTCCTACCAGAAGAGATGTCAGAACCAGGACTGTTTAGCAGAAGGAGCTAAGAATTTAACAGTTTATATGAACGTTAGGCATTGTTCCAGGCCCTTTGCCAAATCTGAGTTCATTTAATACTCGTAACAACTCTGTATAGGGTGTGTATAGTCTGATTATCCCCATTTTATATATGAGGAAACTGAAGCACAGAACGTTAAGTAACTTGTCTGAGGTCACACAGTTAGGTCAGAATTCAGACTGAGACTGACTGGCTCCATTGTCCTTGTTTCTAACCCCTCTGGTGTGTGACTTCCTTTAGGCTTTTGTCACTTCCTTCTTTGTTTACCACTATACATCAGTGACAGGGAGAACAGGTCTAGTGGAGACACATTCAGGACCAAGGGAATGTAGGTGTTTATTCTAAGACAAGCATCAGAAGCTACTAGAGAGTTCTGAGACTGGGCTTTGGTCTATGGTTCCATGAAGGAAATTGAACCTTGCCTCCCTCCAAGTTGAATGCCATTGAGCCCCCTCTGAATGTGTCTTGCCTTCCTTCCCTTTGGAGGAACACAGGGTCATGTACCTTACTTGTAGAATTCCACAATGCCATGTTGAGGATTGCTGGCCAGAAGTCTTTAAATTGAAGGGATGGAGGCATCCAGTTATGACCTGGATGAAAACAGAGTCAGCCGCTAAGGAACTCCTGCCCCTAGTGATAAACAGATGCAACTAGCTGATTTTATTTTATTTCTGTTTTTAAAAAATATTTATTTATTTATTTATTGAGACAGAGTCTTGCTTGTTGCCCAGGCTGGAGTGCAGTGGTGTGGTCTCGGCTCACTGCAAAGTTTGCCTCCCAGGTTCAAGTGATTCTCCTGCCTCAGCTTCCTGAGTAGCTGGGATTACAGTTGCCCATCACCACACCCAGCTAATTTTTTTTACTTTTAGTAAGGATGTGGTTTCACCTCGTTGGCCGGGTTGGTTTCAAACTCCTGACCTCAAGTGATCCACCTGCCTCAACCTCCCAAAGTGCTGGGATTGTAGGAGTGAGCCCCTGCACCCAGCCAGCTAGCTGATTTTAATAGCAGGTGCTACTAGGCTACTAGGGATAGTGATAATGATTAGGTCATGTCCTCCAGGACAAGAAAATGGGAATGGCTTTTCTTGAAGCCTTTCTTCCCTCGAGGTGCTTCATTTTGTCCTTCCCTTCACGCATCCCTTTTTTTCATAACCTTCCATTCAGGCTCAAAGGTGGGCCAAGATGATCTGGGAATACACTGCCTTCTCCCTTCTGGGGCAGCAGCAACAAGGTGCAGAGCCACAGGACGGGCATGGGGTTTCAGTGGGAAGCCGTGCTCTGCTGACTACGGCTGGTTGTCAGCAAGTTGGCCAGTTCCAAGGAGTCTAAGCCTGGGCTGAAAGAGTAATAGGTGGCACTGCTAAGAGGAGGCTTAGCTGAGACATGATCTCAGCTTTTTTTAAAAAACGCATGGTCGCATTTTTTTCCTGGGTATTTATGAAGTTTAGAGCAATGGTTCTCAGCCCGAGGACATTTTTGGCAGTGTCTGGAGACATTTTCAGTTTTAAAAACTAAATGTGCATGTAGCGGGGCATGAGGGGGTGGTGTGTTATTGGTTTCCTGTGGGTCAAGGTCAGCACCCTACAGTGCCCAGGACAGCTCCCACAAAAGAGAATTATGGTCCAGAAATGTCACTAGTGCCAAGGTTGAAAAACACTCGTTTAGATTAACGCATTTGATTCTGGCAAAATAGGAAGGACTGGGATCTAGCTGCTTTGACTGTAAGTTTGTGTGTATTTGTCCAGCTCACTTTAACACACATCTCTGCTGACACTGTTTTTTAATTTTGTTTTGGTTTTCATTTTTTTGACAGAGTCTTGCTCTGTTGCCCAGGTTGGAGCATAGTGGCATGATCTTGGCTCACTGCAACCTCCACCTCCCAGGTTCAAGCAATTCTCCTGCCTCATCCTCTTCAGTAGCTGGGATTACAGGCAGCTACCACCATGACCAGCTAATTTTTGTATTTTTAGTTGAGACGGGGTTTCACCATGTTGTCCAGGCTGGTCTTTAACTCCAAACTTCAAGTGATCCACCTGCCTGGGCCTCTCAAAGTGCTGGGATTACAGGTGTGAGCCACCACGCCCAGCCTCAGCTGTTTCCTGGCTGCTGGGCTCATTTACTTTCATTGCCTTTGGATGTTTCCTGCCCCTTGATAGCAGGGATTCCTTTTCTATTCTATCATCCGCCTTATTTTCTGGTCTTTTTCCCTCCTGTTAAAGGCTGCAAGTAACTTCACTAAATACCCTTTGTAAGAAAGGGCCTGTCTTTAAGTGCTGAGGCTGTCTCATGGTTATAACAATTCAGAAAAATCAGTGAAGAGCTGTTTTTGCTCTCTTGCTCACTTTGGGACCTCTTGCCAACAGGACTATGATGCGATGGTGAAGCTGGTGGAAACACTGGAGATGCTGCCTACGTGTGATTTGGCCGATCAGCATAACATTAAATTCCACTATGCATTTGCACTGAATAGGTAAGAACAATAATGTATGTGCAGGGTTTTGAAACATGCCACCTGTTGAATTCTGCTTCCTTCTTTCTTCAACATTGAGTATGAGCCAGGTCACATGCTAAATGCCAAGGTTATGAAGATGGGCAAGGCCCAGTCTTTGTTCTCATGGGCTTTGTATTTGGAATATACATTCTAGCTCTGAGATCAGACAGATCATTCCATCCTAATAGCTTAGGACAGCAGCAACACGGGCACCCCCTGGCTTCATGCATCTCGTCACACATATGAGGTCACATCTCTTTTAAATTGAGGTAAAATTTATAGTCAGTGAAATGCACAGATCTGAAGTATATCATTTGTGTTTGATAATTAGCTGTACGCATGGAAATAACACCCTCATCAAGAAGGAAAACGTTTCCATCACCCCAGAAGTTCCCTTGTGCTCCTTTGCAGGCAGTCCTTACCCCTCCATTTGGAGGTCGCCCCCTCCATAGGCGACCACTGTTGCAGCCTTTATGTCCATAGATGAGTTTGGCTTGTCCTTGAACTTCACATAAATGGAATCACACAGTGTACACTCTTTTGTGTCCTTCAGCATTGTATTCGTGAGATTCATCTATGCGGTTGTATGTATTAGTGGTTTGTTTATTCTCATTTCTGCCGCGTAGTGCTTTGTATAGATATGCCTCGATCGTCTGTTTTACTGCTGATGGGCCTCTAGGTTGTTTCTGGTTTGGGGATACTGAGAGCAGTGCTGCTGTGGACATTGCTGTACATGCTTTTTCTTTTTCTTTTTCTTTTTTTTCTTTGAGACGGAGTTTTGCTCTTGTTACCCAGGCTGGAGTGCAATGGCGCGATCTCGGCTCACCGCAACCTCCGCCTCCTGGGTTCAGGCAATTCTCCTGCCTCAGCCTCCTGAGTAGCTGGGATTACAGGCACGCACCACCATGCCCAGCTAATTTTTTGTATTTTTAGTAGAGACGGGGTTTCACCATGTTGACCAGGATGGTCTCGATCTCTTGACCTTGTGATCCGCCCGCCTCGGCCTTCCAAAGTGCTGGGATTACAGGCTTGAGCCACCACACCTGGCCCCTGTACATGCTTTTTCTACACATATTAGATACGTTTATCTTGGGTATATAGCTTGTGTTTGTAGTAGACATCGACAAACGATAGGATTCTGATTCCTTTTTGGGAGGAAGCTTCATGTCACTATGGAAAAGTGTCTACTCTCTCCCCAGCAGCCTTTAAACCCAGCATCCCAAGGTGGGAAGCATTGTTGTGTATTAAGGCCAGTCTTCATGAAAAAGCAGTCTTGTAACTTTGTTCCCCCAGCATAGTGAGCTCCATTCTTATTTATATTTACCTGTGCTTGATTTATAACAATTAAATGAGTTATCACTTCCAAGGTTCTTGGGAGAGTGCCTGGCACATTGTAAGTGCTATTAAAAAATTGGCTCATTAAATAAAAATCATAAGCACCTTTTAAGTTAGTCTTCACTAAGTGGTTTTCCCAGAGATAGTAGAGGTAACTGTTATCAGACAGAGAATGAAATAATAGATTTCCATCTTCTCAAAATAACGAGTCAAACAAGATTTGAAATGGAAAACTGGGGCTGGACACAGTGGCTCATGCTTGTAAGCTCAGCCCTTTGGTAGGCCGAGGCAGGCAGATTAATTGAGCTCTGAAATTTGAGACCAGCCTGGGCAACATGGTGAAATCCCATCTCTACAAAAAATACAAAAGTTAGCCAGGTGTGATGGCTTGTGTCTGTAGCGTCAGCTACTCAGGAGGCTCAGGTGGGAGGCTTGCTTGAGCCTGGGAAGTTGAGGCTGTAGTAAGCCATAACTGTACCATTTCAATCCAGCCTGCGTGTAGAGACCCTGTTTCAAAAAAAGAAAAAAGAGAGAGAGAAAGAAATAGAAAATTGGTATTTAGGAGAAACAGGTTTAGCAGAATGAAGTGATCCTGAGGTGAATACGGGTCCAGTTTGGAAGCAGAATGGCTGGGATTGCACACCAGAGAGCCACCTTTCTCTTTGATGAGTCTTCCTTCTAGTCCAATTCTCTCCTATTAGACAGTGGCTCTATTTAATAGGGCCAGACGGGGTCCTCAGTGCTGAGAACCTCATTTTCTCCAACAAACCAAGGCTTCTCTGTAGGATCGCAGTACTTGCTTCATTTACACAGGTAATCTGATCCTGAATTTCACATTTGTGCTTCAGGCTTGGCTTGGCCAGCCGTCAGCATAGTGGGAGTTTGCATTACACACTGAGCATCTCTAATCTGAAAATATGAACTCCAAAGTGCTCCTAAATCAAAACTTTTTGAGTGCTGACCTGATGCTCAAAGGAAATGCTCATTGGAGTGTTTTGGATTTCGACTTAGGGATGCTCAACTCGTAAGTATAATGGAAATAATCCCAAATCTGAAATACCCCAAACCCAAAGCACTTCTCTGGTCCCAAGCATTTCGGATAAGAGATACCCAACTGGTGTATACAGTTTTCAGGGAGTTTATGGCATTACCTTTTATCTGTAAAGGAGAAAATAGTGATGAACTAGAAACAAGTTTTCCTGCATTAAAGTTGACCTTTAGCTCTCAGGAAGTGGAGCAAATCGTGGCCAGAAGGTTGGCAGTAATGGATGTCTTTTGACCCTCAGATGTCAAGGGCTCCCTGTTAGTGGAAAGCTGTCTCCAGCTGGTCAGCTTTCCCTGCTACCTCCCACTTCACTGAATTCAGGACCGCATTCAGAGCTACTTTAAGTTAAACTGCTTCCTGCTTGATGGCATGGAACCCTTTATGAGTGATTTTTATTTGCTGTTGCTTTTACAAAGCGGACTTTGTTAGATACATGAATGTAGTCAGAATTTTCTGGCCAGGGATCCAGCCAGTGAGCTGGATGGTCTAGAAGAAGAAAATCAGAATCAAAGTCCCAGGTTAAAAACAAAACAGAGCTTGCCAGTCGCAAAATAGAAGGCACATACTCGTGTTCTACTTCCAGCATCTTTGGATAGAGACTGCCAGCTCTGGCAAAATTGACCTCTTTGAATTACTCATCAAGTGGCAGGGCAGTTGGATGTGTGCGGCACTGATTGGAATGTCTGATGTGTCATTCTGTAAAGAAGGGGAGTGCTAGACAAGGATGCTCTGCAGACCCTAGAAATGTGTGCAGGGGACATTAGATGAGCGTGACTGAATCCAGCCCACACCAGAGGGGCTGCATGCTTGTTCCAGAACCTACAGTAGTCACCTGGGCCTTAGTCTCTGAGCTTCCCAGCCAGGTCATTGCTCAGGTGGAGGGACACATATCCCTAAAAGGGCGGAGTACGCTCATCACTACAGTAGTCATGGGCCTCCTTTTATCTCCTCTATTTATGTTCACTGTTTGATCTGCTGTCTTAATTTCCATGTTGATACAAGTAGCATTCTTTATGACATGTTTGTCAAAATTAGAAAAATGATGAAATATCGCCAGTAATCCCAGCACTTTGGGAGGCCGAGGCGGGTGGATCACGAGGTCAGGAGATCGAGACCATCCTGGTCAACATGGTGAAACCCCGTCTCTACTAAAAATAAAAAAATTAGCTGGGCATGGTGGCGCGTGCCTGTGATCCCAGCTACTCAGGAGGCTGAGGCAGGAGAATTGCCTGAACCCAGGAGGCGGAGGTTGCAGTGAGCCGAGATCACGCCATTGCACTCCAGCCTGGGTAACAAGAGTGAAACTCCATCTCAGAAAAAAAAAAAAAAAAAAAAAAGAAAAATGATGAAATATTCCCACTTTTTTTTTCCCTGAGGTGGAGTTTGCTCTGTTGCCCAGGCTGGAGTACAGTGGCCCAATCTTGGCTCACTGCAACTTCTGCCTCCTGGGTTCAAGTGATTCTTTTGCCTCAGCCTCCTGACTAGCTGGGACTACAGGTGTGCACCACAACCCCTAGCTATTTTTTTATTTTTAGTAGAGATCGGGTTTCACCATATTGGCCAGGCTGGTCTCGAACTCCTGACCTCATGATCTGCCCACTTTGGCCTCCCAAAGTGCTGGGATTACAGGTGTGAGCTATCGCGCCAGGCCTGACATCTTCCCACTTTTCTAATGCATTGTCTCCAGGCAGCTAAAAGGATCTTGCAAAAGAAGGATATGTACTCCTCTTTTCTAATGAAGAGAACCACACAATCTGCCAAATTAAAAGGAATCATTTAGTCCAAATCCTTTGTTTTGGAGAGGAGAAAGAAAGAAGCAAAAAGGCAAGGGTCCAAAATATAACAGCTGGTCAATAAGAGATCTAAACCAGAACTCCCTAATTTTACCACAGCATGCTGCATATACTACCTTTAAAGCTGATGTTAATAGTGTTGTGGCATAATCAATTAAACTCTTTCCAGCAGGCTTTAGCTTATATATATTTTGGTTGTCTGAAGGACAACCAAAATAAGGCAGGGCCCTCCACTTGAAATTGTGTCATTCTGTAAATAAGGGGAATGCTATCCCTTTATATGTCCTGGGTTTTTCATATGCAATGAGAACATTGGATGATAGCTAAATATTGAAGCTGCCATCATAATATAAACTTTGTTTTGTTTTGTTTTGTTTTTTGTTTTTTTTGAGCTGGAGTTTTGCTCTGTTGCCCAGACTGGAGTACAGTGGCACGATCTTGGCTCACTGCAACCTCCGCCTCCTGGGTTCAAGTGATTCTCCTGCCTTAGCTTCCTGAGTAGCTGGGATTACAGGTACATACTACCATGCCCAGCTAATTTTTGTCTTTTAATAGAGACAGGGTTTTCCCATGTTGGCCAGGCCGGTCTCAAACTCCAGACCTCAAGTAATCCACCCACCTCCGCCTCCCAAAGTGCTGGGATTACAGGTGTGAGACACCGCACCTGGCCTTGTTTTTTTTTTTTTTTGTGGCAAAAAAATATATATAAAATTTACCATGTTAACCATTTTTAAGCATACAGTTCAGTATGGTTAAATATGTCCACATATGGTGAAACAGAGCTCTAGAACTTTTCCTTTTGTAAA